TAAATATCTGCAGAGGGGCTGACGTGGGCTCATCCCTGCTCCAGATCGGCACACTCAAAGAGGGACGGGACTGACGGAGTGCTGGAAGAGGGACAATGTTCAAACAGCCGTCTGTCTGCCCTCCTCTTCCGGCAGCAGCTGCAGGGCTCTGTGGTGCTAAAACTCGGACCGGGGGGGGGGGGGGGAGCAGTGTTCCCTCTAAGCTGAGATAGTGTGAGCTATCTGACAGTTTTTTAGCCTCCGGCACACACATTTTTCTCTTCACTCGGGAAGGAGGGCTCCAGAGCAGACTAATTTATGCAGCAGCCAGATCGCTCACTCACAACTTTAATGCCAGGAGCTCACAAAGTGGAATTTTTGCTCACAGGACTCCACAGCTTAGAGGGAGCACTGGCTGGACCTTCTCTGAGGAGACCCCCCCCCAAAAAAAAAAAACACAACACAACAAACACATCCAACCCCTTGGAAAGGCAGCCGGGCCTGGCACAGGGAAGCCAAATTGACTGACCAGGCCGAGCCAAGGCCGCAGTGTTCCCTCTAAGCTGAGTCAGTGTGAGCTTGCTCACAGGTTTTTAGCCTCCAGCTCACACATTTTTGTCTTCACTCAGGAAGGAGGGCTCCAGAGCAAACTAATTCACGCAGGAGCCAAATGGCCCACTCACAACTTTAATGCCAGCAGCTCACAAAGTAGAATTTGTGGAGCAGTGGTGGGGAGAATACACAGCAGGCATGGCCAAGGAGTGAGGAAAATTCCCCCAGAGGAGAAGGGGTCTTCTCTGCTCAACAGCTAGCCAGGTTACCTGGCTCCAGGGTCTGTCCCGAGGCATTCGGAGAACTTCACAGAGACATAAGACGCTGCCACATGCAGAGTCGGTCCATCTAGCCTGGCACTGTCTCTTCAGACTGGCAGCCGCTCTTGAGGTCTCAGGCCCAGCAAGGATACCCCCTCCCCCGCTTCCAAGATGGAACCTGGGTCCATCGCCACTGTTTGAAAGACACGCTCCGCCACTGGCTCGTGTGCGTCCTCCTCACAGACATGAGATGGACTCCAGCAGGCAGAGATCTCGTTAGAGAGCAGCTAGACTAGGAGCTGGGAGACCCCCGTTCAGATCCTTCCCTCAGCATGAAGCTGACTGGGTGGCCACAGGCCAGGCACGCCCTCTCAAACCCATCTACCTTATAAGGCTGTTGTGAAGACAGAGAGAGAGGGAGAGTGGATCACGTAAGCTACCCTGCGCTCCTTGGAAGAAGCGGGGGAGAAAACAGGATTGGACAGAGAGATGGATCACTCATGAGCGTCGGGTGCGTAAGGGTTCATGCAGACTCTCTCTTCTTGGGTCTTGTTTTAAGAAGAAGAGAAGAAGAGATTGGATTTATACCCCGCCCTTCACTCAGAGTCTCAGAGCGGCTGATGAACCCCTTTCCTTTCCCCTCCCCACCACAGACACCCCGAGAGGTACGTGGGGCTGAGAGAGCTCTTGACAGAAACTGCCCTTTTTTGAGAACAGCTCTTATCAGAGCTACTGAAACAGTAAATCACCGTGTACAATTAAACAATATTTGCTGATTTTTATATGCAATGTTGAGAATTCAATTATTACCAATAACACTACAATATGTGATATAAAGCTTAGCAGTACATACAAAGTAGTACAATACTAGTTACAGTCAAACGACAGAGTTCTAGTACACTATCCGTTTGCGTTTCCTTCATCAGGTTTGTCATTCTGTATTTATTTCTTCATTAGAATGAAGTGCTGCTGTAGACCCAGTCACATTAGAGCTTGCTATAGGAGCTCCCCAGTCACCAGAATCTAAGCGCGGTAGCGTACATCAAAAATTGTATAAGCATTTTGAAATATGGCTTGCAGCACTTCACAAACGGATAGTGTACTAGAACTCTGGGGTCGTTTGTCTGTAAGTAGTATTGTATTACTTTGTATGTACTGCTAAGCTTTATATCACATATTGTAGTGTTATTGGTAATAACTGAATTCTCAACATTGCATATAAAACCCAACAAATATTGTTTAATTGTACACAGTGATTTACTGTTTCACTGGCTATTACACACCGTGGTCCTGTTTGTTGTAACTTATCAGAGCTACGGCTTGCCCAAGGTCATCCAGTCAGGTGCAAGTGGAGGAGTGGGGAATCAAACCCAGTTCTCCCAGATTACAGTCCACCCACTTAACCACCACACCAAACTGGTGTATTTTATTTATTTGATTTATCCAATTTCTACCCCTCCCTCCCAGCCAAGGGCAGCTCAGGGCGGCTTGCATAAAACAGATAAATTACGTTTAAACACAATTACAGGTAAAACAATCCTTGTGTGTTGAGCAGTGTTGAGAGGCCTACACCCACCCACCTTGGACCGGCCTCGGGGAACTTCCTTCTCTGCCCAGGACCCTGGAGAGACTGCAGCTGCCAGTCAAAGGAGGCAAGGCTCAGCTAAACAGCCAAAATGGTCTGACGGGGCAAGGCGGCTTCACGCGTTGGAAGTCAAGCATGACTCCCCCAAAGCAGGAGCTTGTACCAGACCCACCAGCCCGGCGGCCACACAGATATTCACCAGTCCTGTTGTCTCCAGCCTGCCACCACCACATGTCAAAGAGTGTCGCTTCATTTTGTTTTGGGAAAGCATAAACAATGTGTGTCCCAAAGGAACCGAGAGTCACTTACTCTGTCTGTGACTGTGAGCCCAGGAGATCTGTCGGAAAAGAAAAAGACGGGTGTAAGTCTGTGTTCCCTCTAAGCTGAGTTAGTGTCAGCTAGCTCACAGTGTTTTAGCCTCCGGCTCACGCATTTTTTGCCTTAGCTCAGGGAGGATGTGGCTCCAGAGCAAACTGATTGATGCAGCAGCCGAATCGCTGGCTCACAACTTTAATGCCAGTAGCTCACAAAGTAGAATTTTTGCTCACAAGACTCCACAGCTTAGAGGGAGCCTTGGTGTAAGTTGAAACCGCTGATCCGAGCACAGCATCCGAACAAGCAGCTGGGCAGACGTGCCTTGGCCAGCTATGAGCCTCCAGGTGCAGAGGCAGTCTCTCTCTAAGAGCAAGGTGCTGAGCATAAAAGGGGAAGTGAATTCTTGCCTTTCTGCCCCGCTGGGTCACTGTGGGAAAGGGGATGCTGGCCGCTATGGCCCCTCAGTCTGCATTTAGCATCAGGCCTTCGGGATATGAAGAGACCCTGAATGCCCCTGGTCGGAGGCAGGCACTGCAGCACGCAGGTGACATGACTTTCCCTCACACTGTGACTTCAACTGCGCCTCTGGCTGGCCACTCTGCTTAGGGCATGACCTCCAAGCCAGAAAATCCAGCTGAAGCCTGAGTCGGCCTATGCCTGCATGCCATAAACATTGATTGCCAGGGCTGTATTCTGTATGGGGGAAAACCAGCTGTAAAAGACGGCAGGAGTAGTTCCATGCAAAGTCGCTGCCAAGCCTCCGACGAAGATCTTGGGCCTGGGGTGTAACTTTGCCCCTTTCTGCCCTTGCCTACAGTCTGCAGATAATGGTTGCTGCAATGGACAAAGTTTCAACTTGAGATGTTTCCCCCCCCCCCTTCCACACCAGGAGAAGTGCTTCCTAGTTCATGTCTTTGCCTTCAGGAGCTCTGTTGGTTTTCTGCCCACCAGGCAGCATGAAAAGAGATCCCTGCCCCCCCCCCCCCCGCGCCCCCCTGCGAGTCTGCGTGTGTTTGTGCATGTGTTGTCAGAATCCCCAGTCCTGGTCTCAGAGCCTCCGGAGAACTCTGGCTCTTAACTCCGCTTGGCTGCGAGCTGTGAGACTCTAATGCAAAGACGAACCCCGAGAGTGCTGACCCGCGGCTCTTACCAAGGCTGGTGCTGGAGTCCGCCTGGCCCACTAGGGCCCGCCCCTCGAGCAGGGCTTCCTCAGCCTCCCATTCGTCCAGGGGCTCCAGGTCATCGCTGAGGCTCGATCGCCGCCTGGGGGAAGGGTCCTGCAGTGCTTCCCGGGTGCCCAGCTCAGTCCTGGCATTGCTCACCACCAGCCTCGCGCTCTCCTCCTCTTCCTCGCTGTCCTCAAACACAAACGCCTCCCCGGCATCGTCTTCTCCATCCGTCGAGGCCTCTGGAGCACCCTGCACAGATCCGCCTCCTTCACAGAGGCGAGAAAGCTGCAGTGAGTAGTGAAAGAGAAGGAGTCGCTGCCAGAGGATGTAGTGATGACCACAGGCACAGACGGCTTCAAAAGGGGACTGGACAGGTTCATGGAGGAGAGGCCTGTCAGCGGCTACTAGCCACGGTGACTGAGGGGAACCTCCACATTCAGAGGCTCTAAGCCTCTGAATCCCAGAGCCAGGAGGCAACATCAGGGGGAAGGTCTCAGCCTCTCTGCCCTGTTGCTGGCGCTCCAGAGGAACTGGTTGGCCACTGGGTGAGACAGGAGGCTGGACTAGAGGGACCTTCACAGGTCTGACCCAGCAGGGCTCTTCTGATGTTCTTCTCAGGGGAAGGCCTTGGCCTCTCTGCCCTGTTGTTGGCCCTCCAGAGGAACTGGCTGGCCACTGCGTGAGACAAGATGCTGGACCAGATGGACAAGGCTCTTATGGCCACTGAGGTCCGATCCAACAGGGCTCTTCTGATGTTCCTATCAGGGGAAGGCCTTGGTCTCATTGCCCTGTTGCTGGCACTCCAGAGGAACTGGCTGGCCACTGAGTGAGACAGGATGCTGGACTAGATGGACCCTCACTGGTATGATCCAGCAGGGCTCTTCTGATGTTCTTATCAGGGGAAGGTCTTGGCCTCATTGCCCTCTTGCTGGCACTTCAGAGGAACTGGCTGGCCACTGGGTGAGACAGGATGCTGGACTAGATGGACCCTCACTGGTATGATCCAGCAGGGCTCTTCTGATGTTCTTATCAGGGGAAGGTCTTGGCCTCATTGCCCTCTTGCTGGCACTTCAGAGGAACTGGCTGGCCACTGGGTGAGACAGGATGCTGGACTAGATGGACCCTCACTGGTCTGATCCAGCAGGGCTCTTCTGATGTTCTTATCAGGGGAAGGTCTTGGCCTCATTGCCCTCTTGCTGGCACTTCAGAGGAACTGGCTGGCCACTGGGTGAGACAGGATGCTGGACTAGATGGACCCTCACTGGTCTGATCCAGCAGGGCTCTTCTGATGTTCTTATCAGGGGAAGGTCTTGGCCTCATTGCCCTCTTGCTGGCACTTCAGAGGAACTGGCTGGCCACTGGGTGAGACAGGATGCTGGACTAGATGGACCCTCACTGGTCTGATCCAGCAGGGCTCTTCTGATGTTCTTATCAGGGGAAGGTCTTGGCCTCATTGCCCTCTTGCTGGCACTTCAGAGGAACTGGCTGGCCACTGGGTGAGACAGGATGCTGGACTAGATGGACCCTCACTGGTCTGATCCAGCAGGGCTCTTCTGATGTTCTTATCAGGGGAAGGTCTTGGCCTCATTGCCCTCTTGCTGGCACTTCAGAGGAACTGGCTGGCCACTGGGTGAGACAGGATGCTGGACTAGATGGACCCTCACTGGTCTGATCCAGCAGGGCTCTTCTGATGTTCTTATCAGGGGAAGGTCTTGGCCTCATTGCCCTCTTGCTGGCACTTCAGAGGAACTGGCTGGCCACTGGGTGAGACAGGATGCTGGACTAGATGGACCCTCACTGGTCTGATCCAGCAGGGCTCTTCTGATGTTCTTATCAGGGGAAGGTCTTGGCCTCATTGCCCTCTTGCTGGCACTTCAGAGGAACTGGCTGGCCACTGGGTGAGACGGGGTCACTACATATAACAGTTTGCTCCCTGGCCCAAGAAGCCCAGTGCTGTCGTCTACTCTGACTGGCAGCTGCTCTCCAAGGTCTCAGGAGAACCAAGGCGCTGGGGACCAAAGCATACGTCACCAGGGCCTTGGGGCTGCAAGGCTCTTATGGAGCTTTCCGCACAGGATTGGGCTTGCATGGTTCCGCCGCTGCTGACGCGATAGCTGATAAGGCGTAGCAGCAGCAACGGGGCTTCCATGTGGCAGGCTTCCCACAGTTTCCTTGCCCCTGTCTGCAAGCAGTGGCCATTCCCTCTCCTGGGTGAAAACGGCCTCTTCAGTTTTCGAAAATGGCACTAGAGTATTTTTATACTAATATAACATGCTATCCCAGCCAATGCTCCCTCTAAGCTGTGGAGTCTTGTGAGCAAAAATTCTACTTTGTGAGTTCTTGGCATTAAAGTTGTGAGCAAGCGATGTGGTTGCTGCATAAATTAGTTTGCTCTGGAGCCCCATCCTTCCTGAGCGAAGACAAAAATGTGTGAGCTGGAGGCTAAAAAACTAGCTCACAATAACTCAGCTTAGAGGGTACACTGATCTCAGTATGTGCACAGGGTTCTCTTTCACTTTAAACAGAAGTGTCTCTAGACCCTTCCACTGCAGTGAGACGCCCTTCTGCTTATATCTCCACAATGGAAGCGGCTGGAGATTTACTGTTTGTTAAGGGAAAGCTGGGAATGCAGAGAACCTGGTGCAAATATGGGTATAGCGTTGTATCAGTATACTGATATTCTAGTGCAGATTTTAAAAGTTTAAACTAAAAAGCCACCAGTAAATGGCCGCTGTGAGGACAGGGTTACGGAAAATGGCTGCCAACTGGGCAGGAAAATCCACATTTCCTCACCCACACAGTAGCTATCCAGGCCTTTACTGCGCTCTTTCCCAAACCTTCAGTGCAAACTGGGTGTGAGAAAGACTGGAGAAAAGCTTGAGAAATGCCAGGGGAGGGGGGCACGGATCCACCAAGATGGTGTTGGGAGGCAGGAAAACAACCCACTTCCTGAGAGCACTGAACCCAGGGCAGATAACCTGTGCGGAAATGTCCACAATCTATTTAAGGTATTTTTGAAATGAGATAGACACTTTTCTTCCATGACTCAAGAGATTTTACAAATGGAAAGGGATTACATGACAGGTTTATACCAGGTGGAGAGAGAAATGATTCCGGGCCACTTGGGCAGCAGAGAAATGCCTTGCCTGTCTCCTGTTACCTGAGACCACTATCTAGGGACACCAGGAACAGAACCCGGGACCTTCTGTGTACAAAGCAAGCCCTCCACCACACCGCCACGCCCTGCCCCTCTGAACTCCATCACCCATGGAATTCTGAGATGCGTTTCAAGATTCCTGATTGGGCAAAACATTACAGGAATTTTGAGGCCACTCACATGAGTTTTGATCAAGCCAGCAACACTTCTCAGGCTGCGTGGACTTTTGAGGGGGTCTGAATTGGCAGGTATTTTGAGGGGGTCTGAATTGGCAGGTGTTTTTAAGGTGGGAGGGAGGGAAAGACTGTTATTTCATTTTGGTTTTAATTGGAAGTATTTTTACTTTAAGCAGTGTTCCCTCTAAGCTGAGTTAGTGTGAGCTAGCTCACAGTCTTTTAGCCTCCGGCTCACACATTTTTGCCTTAGCTCAGGAAGGATGGCTCCAAATCACTTGCTCACAACTTTAATGGCAGTAGCTCACAAAGTAGAATTTTTGCTCCCGAGACTCCATGGCTTAGAGGGAACATTGACTTTAAGTATTACTTTAAGTCTCCTTGAACCATGAGGAAAGGCAGGGTATCAATATTCAAGTAAGTAAACCAATAACTAAATAAGAAAAACATGTCAGGGATGGGGGGGGGAGACAAAGAGAGGAAACTCTGTAATAACGGTGCAGTTCCTCGGGGGAGCCAGCCCACAGCTGTTGGCATGCCAGGCTTCCTTCTGGCCCTGCTCCTCCGCCACGAGCCGCTAGCCAACACAGAAAAACTCAGCAGGCAACGCTTATTTCCCACCACTCTCTGTGCCCGAAAGAGCTTCACCACCTAAACGTCTGCTCATGCCAAGGCAGTTAAAGTTGCAGAGGCTGTACAAAGGTTGGCAGCTCAGAAGGCAAAACACACACACACACACACACAAGCACAAACGTATATTGTTTGGTGCTCTCGTTGCCTGCCCGGGTCACTTTGGAACCCTGCCACAGAAGGCCCAACTTCGTATCTGGTTTCTGCCTGTTCCACATTTAGCCTACGCTCCTCGCCTGGCTGTGACCAATCACCCAAAAGCCAGGCACGTCTGCATCACAGCAACCACCTGCAAACCTGCCTACGAATAGCCTGGGTGTGGAAGTATCTCTTTGCCTGCACCAATAGGCAGCTGTTCCAAGGACACCTATTCTGTTATATCAGGAGGGGGGATGGGGGGAGGAAGCAACCTCCAAAACCTTTGGACACCATTTTCCTTATTCTATTATTAGCAAGATGCAGAGTCCGTAATGCCAACTCTTTCTTTTGCATCCACTTCAGTTGGTGCAGAGGCACGTGCAAGCTTACAGATTTCACAGAACACTTTGCCAGGCCAAAAAAAAGAAAAAAAAGCAGGCAACAGAGCAAGCAGAGGATGAGAACGCTCACAGCAATGATCAAAGGCAGCTTGCAAAACTGCAATACAGCCAATCAGATAATCTCATCTACCACACATTCTGCAAAATCTGTCTCATGCCTTCAAAGTGTTTAGGTGGTGCCTACATCACGAGCTCTAGGACAAAGGCTCAGCCCTGCACCATGTGACATGTTCATAAAGAGAAGGGCGCATCTGAGCATGCATAGAGTGTCTCTCCCCTTGCTGCTGCCATGTAACCACAGTGTACTCTCCAGTTTGGGAAAGATGGGGTAAGGGAGGTGGCTGTCAGCATTTTGAGCTCCAGCACGGTCACTGATTCACCGGGAAATTGGGGGGGGGGGCGCTGCGATGAAATTTATTTATTTATTTATTTAGGTATTTTTACCCCACCCTCCCCGCAAGCGGGCCTTTTGCCTAATTTCTGGAAGATGCACCCAGGCCTCCCACACACATCTAATGCATTATCAGAGAGTGCCAGCTCATCTCCAATTTGTTTTCTCCCAGCAGGAAAGAGATCTAGAAAGTTGTTCTTCACTTATGTGAAAGCGGAATTTCTGGGAATCCCACAGAAGCAGCAAGATGTGCACTTGGGACCACATGCTGGCTCCTAGATAACCACAGAGAGAAACGCTGCGGAAGCCGCCGCCACCTCCTCCGTCGAGTAATGCGGTAACACCAGTACCTAGCGTGGAGCCTGGGGGCCCTTGGGAAGAGGCCATCTTTCTCTCTCACACCCACTCAGCTCTGAGGCTCCTCTCCTGGCTCCTTCCCCAGCTGTTTACCTAGGAGAAAAGGAGAGGAAAGGTGTTTCAGGATGGGGACTGTTCTTCCCAGAAGCAATTCCCCCCCCCCCGCCCCAGGCTCTGTCCTTTCTCATTCTTCTATCTACAACAGCTGCCACTGCCCGCAGCCAGCCACTTCACACCCCCAAACAGCACACTGCAAGAAAAAGAAGAGATTAGATTTATATCCCACCCTTCACTACCTGAAGGAGTCTCACAGTCTCCTTTCCCTTCCCCTCCGCACTGAGAGAGCTCTCCTGAGAACTGTCCTTGAGAGAACAGCTCTGAAAGGACTTGTGACTGACTGAGGTCACACCAGCAGCTGCATGTGGAGGAGTGGGGAATCAAACCCGGTTCTCCAAGATTAGAGTCCGCGCTCTTAACCACTACACTAAACTGGCTCTCAACAGAGTATGAGTAATTACAAAAAAGTGTGTAAGCTGAACTAGCTGGCCTGATTGGTCTCATTTGCATCAGGAGCTGTGCCCATGTTCTCAAAATAGCTGCAGAGTATGAACATGAAACACAAGCACTTCCGGTCTCATCCATCCCCGCATGAGGGCTGGAACCTTACCTTTGGTTTCCCACAAGAAGGAATCGCCTCCCGCCTCCCTACAGCCACACACAGGCACGAGAGATGCAGCAGGCTGTTATGTTTTCCACAAAAAGTGATTCAGCAAGCATCAAAGCAAGCAACACGCTTCCCAGGCAAAAATTGCGTGTTTCGATAGATTCTTCTTCAGGCAGACATATTTTTCCTGGAACCAAACCTCACAATGCTACAGTGCACAAGTCAACAATTCTTCTTCCGGCAGACATATTTTTCCTGGAACCAGGAAAATGCACTGTAGCATTGTGAGCTTTGGTTCCAGGGAAAATATGTCTGTCTGAAGAAGAATCTGTTGAAACACGCAATTTTTGCCTGGGAGGCGTGTTGCTTGCTTTGATGCTTGCTGAATCACTTTTTGTGGAAAACATAACAGCCTGCTGCATCTCTCATCATTTACGACTGTTGCAACCTTCATCAGTCTCTTATCAGGAGCAAGATAGTCTACAGCACTGGAATAGGTCTCTGTAGCTGTGGACTCTTCTATCGGTAGATGTATAATGTTCTCTAGGTTTTTGTGTTATAATGAATCTGTATAAGATACACTAGGGTCTCTATTATATTTAAATCAATCTATAAAGACACAAGTGTATATTAGTAGAGTGTGTTTTGTTCTAACACGGTGTTTCTTTACGCACCTGCGGCCTTAGTTGCCCTCCCTGCCAGCCCACTGGGGAGTTTCTTCTAAGAAGGCCTTAGCCTGAGCACAGCACCCCATTTAGTGGAGATGCCCCAAGACACAACTGACGCTGACTTGGGGGCCCTGCTCTCCTTCTGCAACGGTTAACCCGCCTCACACACGTCTGC